AAAAAAAAAAAAAAAACAAAAAACAAAAAAACAACCCACTTAGCAAATTGTAACTAGATTTGGTAGTCCTATGCAAGGAAACACAAATTAAAAATTAAATTTCTGGGTATTAGCAAAGATATAACATAATTAGTATAATTAATAACGACCACCACATAATTCATGATAAGATTGTACTTAAAATTTGAGCCATGAAATTAATTTTAGAGCACACACGTTGATTTCTATTTGACCACCAATTTTTTTTTAGTAAAATAAGTAATTCTCTTTGTTAGCAAAGATATAATGTCATTAGTATGGTCAAATTTAAATCAATATTGTTATGCTGATTTAGATCTTTTATCAAGTTTTTCATCTCAAGTGATGTGATATAGTTTTCATCGTTAAATAAGCGGTCTCATTAATATTTAATAATAGAGATTGTGTTAAATTAATTGAGATGAAAAATTTTATAAGCATAACACTATTATTATTTTTTTTAAATGTGGGATAAGACTATTTATATTTTTTTTTTTGAAAAGACTATTTAGATTTGTCATTTATTAATGGAGTAAATATTGAATGCAACGGTGATACTATGTTACTATTGATAATATGATATCACCAACTAATAATAAAACTACAAATAAGTAAGGTGAATCTCACTTGAATTTACATGACAGAAGTGTAAGGAGTTATTTGTTTACATGGTAGATTAGTTATTACTCCCTTTATTCATAAATATCTGTCGTTTTACTCAATTTTTTTTGTTTCACAATATCTGTCGTTTTATGAAGCCAAAGCATAATTAATATTTTTCCTTCCAAATTTATCCTTATCTCTGTTTTCTAATAAGTGTTTAATAGATTAAGTGTAGGCTAAGTGTCTTTCATATTTTTTTCCTTTCCAATGCGTATTGAATAAGAGTATTTTAGTCTTGTGCAATTATTTTTTACTCATATTAGAGCTATTTAATAGCTTCGTTAATCCCTATGCAAAAATTTTAAACGACAGATATTTAGGAACGGATGGAGTAATTTTTTGTAGGGTCTATTTATTTATTTATTTTAATATTATTGGTTGATAATATCACATCTCCCTATCATGTGGTATTACCGTTGTAATGAATACTCCATTCGTTCTTAAATATCTGTCGTTTTAAACAATTTTTTTTGTTTCACAATATTTGTCGTTTAATGAAACCAAAGAATAATTAATATTTTTTCTTCTAAATTTACCCTTATCTCTGTTTTCCAATAAGTGCTTAATAACTGCACACAATAATTAGTTTTTTTTTTAATTTTTCAATGTATTAGATTAGGTGTAAGCTAAATGCCTTTCATATTCTTTTCATTCCCAATACGTATTGAATAAGGGTATTAGTCTTGTATAATTATTTTTTACTCATATTAGAATTATTTAATAGTTTCCTTAATTCTTGTACAAAAACCTTAAATAACAAATATTTAGGAACGGAGGGAGTATTTTCTTCTATTAATGTTAAAGGGACAAAAATTTTGTGCACTAAGTTTAAATATTTTTGTCAAATATAATCTCCATTATTGTTGTGGTTGGTTGATGGTGAGGGAACATTTACCTCTCCTCGAAATCAAGTTTTTTTTAATAAGGAAAGATGAATTTGGTTTTTCGAAAAA